TCAATGAATATTTTGCATCGGTGTTTAATGAGGCCAATGAAGGTATTAGGGATACTAATTTTCCTCCAGGGCAGATTGGCTGAGCCTCTGGAGGTTTTTCGCCTTCCTCCGCAGCATGGGGCAGAGATCTCTAGCAGGAGGGTCTCTGCCGATTGAAGTCACTAATAACAGGATTGGGGACTTCAGCAGCAGAGTCCAGGGAAGGGGTAGGGACTGTTTTATGGCCTGCAGCATGCAGGGGGTCAGACCAGATGATCATAATGGTCCCTTCGGACCTTAAAGTCTATGAGTCTATAAAAGATATTACCTCAGCCACCTTGTCTCTCTAATATCCTGGGACTGACATGGCTGCAACTAAACTGCATACATAAATAATTATGAGTTAATCAATAGTTAATTATTAATATAAATGGCAATAAAATGCAATCACATTTTAGTGTAATTTAAAAAAAAAATACTTGCATTGATGATTTTGAAAAATTTTTAGCCTTTGAATAAGAAACCAATTTCAATCTCAGAGAATAGTTTGCACCCTATCGGCTTTTATAGCATAGGCACAACACTTCACAATTAACAGAGTTCTGCTTAGAAGTGGTTTACAATCAATCCAAGATTATATGCAGGGTGGGGGGGGGAGAAGAGAAAGAAAATGTGCTTTTCAGATATTTTTTTCTCACTATGGAAAACATTTTGGCTTTGGTTAAAATTGTCTAAAAGCCACTGTTGATGTTGATGTTTATTAGTGTGTCTGCAGGATATAAAATAATCAATGGCAAAATACGGGTGAATAAAGTGCTCATGCTTACATTCGCAAGAGTAAGGGGACACAAATTAAAATTGAGGAAATGATTTTCCAAAATTAAATACAGACAGCGTGGACCATTTTTACACAATTGTTACTTGCTCTGTCTGTAGACAAACTTCTATTCCCTGCAAGCTTTACCAAGGACTTCAGGGTTTGGCATTCTACAATTAACTTGTGGAATTTACTGCCACAGGATATTAATGGGGCAAAATAGCTTAAAAAGATTCAGAGAGGATTAAACACTGAAGAGCAACAAAAGTATCTGCAGTCACTTTGTAGTAGCTAGAATAAAAGTTACAAGACTGGCAAATCCTCCCACTTCAAGGCACAAAATAATTTCCACTCTTTTTTTGCCCAGTCTGCCCGCAGTATTGCATGTATGGTGGGAAGCAGGGAGGTTGTAGAGAGGGGATGGGTGGGAGATGGCCTTCCTCTGAAACATCAGGGACAGGCTACTATCAGAGGTGGGTCTTTCACACTAAGCGACCCATTAATTTATTTAGGCAAGGAAACTCCAGTGACACTATGCTATCTTTGCAACATCCTTTAATGTCACAGATGCTGCTAATAAGATTGCAAATGTGCATAAACCATCCCACTGGTTTGTGTACGTTTTGTGCTTCAGGTCTGAATCAATACTGCTGTTCCTTTTTCTATGTGGTATTTCAGCCCAGCAAGTAGCAGGTTACTGTTAGCTTCCACGTCAGTCAGCGTGTGAAGGCAGAGAGGGCGGGGGGAGTGCTATTTGGCACATTAAAAAGCTACTTTTCTGTCGTGACCGGGAAAGCAGTTGCTGCTGCTGTTCACAAACTTAATCTACGATGCCCTTGCAAAACAGGTCCTCCAGGACACGGCAGCGTACCGTCCTTTTAGTGGTCATCATGGTCCTGATAGTGACAATTGTTGCTGTGCTGTCTGCTGTGCTGCTGGCAAATGGAATGAAAGAGACTAGCATGGAGCTGCTACAGTGGAAAGGCAGAGGGACCACTAAAAATCTGCAAGAAGTCATCCTCGGGAGGTGTTATAATTACATCACAACAGTGAACCCTGAGCTGAGGTGAGTAATAATTACAGTCATGCATAATATGGTTTAATGGCAAAGACAGGCAAAGAGCTAACTACTAACTCAACTGATGCATCCGATGAAGTGGATTCTAGCCCACGAAAGCTTATGCCCAAATAAATTTGTTAGTTTCTAAAGTGCCACAAGGACTCCTCGTTGTTTCAACTGAAACAATATCCCGTGTTATCAGCTGAACAAGGAAAACAGAGGAATTAGAACTTATTACAAGTATTTTGGAGCAAAACATATAAAGTCAGATTTAAAATTGGTTACATCCTGTTGAACATTTTTGGGAGTGGATTGAGGGTGCGCAAAACAGCACAGCAAATGAGAGAGTGAAACAACAGTAATTTGGGGGCAAATTCTGCCCGCACATATAAATGTGCACCTCCTTCAAAAATCTCATAGAACCAAACATCTAAACTCTGGGCCAGAGTCTAGTAAATTTTAATGTGTGGATGTGACAGCAGTGAAGTTTAACTGCAATCTGTGAAGCACTAATGTCGCATATAACATTTAACCCATATAACCAAATATGTGAGTGTATGTGAAAGAGAGCGCAGGAGTCTGGGAAGTCATTTTTAAGAAAGATCTCTATTCAGTTGCTTTTTTCCTTCTGGAAGTGAGAAGAACATTGAGAAATTCCTTTAAAATATGCAAAACAGATATTGTGGTAATGTGGGTCAGAGGACTTGCCTAAGTTCACTGTAAGCACATGGAGCTTTCAGGCTTGTGTAAAAAGATTGATTGCAACTGGTCATATGATTAGAGCTGGGGAGACTCTGCAAAATCTTCTATACACATATATTTACTGAATTCCATCAGTGTGCTTGTTGCTGTACATTATACAGAGGATGAAACAATTCCTACCCTAAGGAGCTTAGGATTTGAATACTTAAAGCATGTTGGAGAGAGAGGGCATTTCAAGTGTAAAGGCTTGCACTGAAGGGGCCAGACAAAAGTGGAAGATATAGAAGTGGCATTTAGAGAAGCAGCTGGGAAGAGCTCTTGCAGCAGAAGGGGGAACAGGAAAGGAGATATGAAAGCAGAGACTGTAGGCCAGGACAGAGCTGAGCAGAATCTTGAAGGGGAGGAGGTCTCAACTTCTCTTCCTCCTTGCAGACAGAGGTTGAAAAGCCAGGGATTCCTTGTTGCAGAGGCAAGGGAAGCATCATCCTGCCTTTTCCCAGGCCCTGCAAAATATCACCCCCCTGCCCCGGAATTCAACATGGATTGGGCACTGTATTGTGGGAGGGAGCAGGGCTGAGGCAGGACAGCCATTCTACACAGTACAATTCCACCCCTACACCTACAGAGTCAACATTTTCCTGCTGAAGTGCAGTCATGTTTAACTTATGTGCCTGCCCCCGCTCCATAATGGCACTGACATAATTTAAACAAAATATTAGCAAAATATTAACTGGTTTCCTGCTAGATTGCAGCAATCAACAAATCTTGCCTTCTGCTATCCAGTGCTGAGACTACTGTATACACAATCTAAAATCTGCAGTATTTGAAGGGAAACTGTCATGATAAAGCCTTGACCTTGATCTTGTGATAATTTAAGCATAAGCTTAATTTTAAGCATGTGAGTAGTATCACTGAAGTCAATGGAGCTACTCAGATGTGTAAAATTAAGCCAGTACACAAGTGTTTGTAGGATCAGGACATCCTAATAAAAAGAAAAGAAAGAAGTTTCCTTGTCAATATTACTAAAAATGCATTCAATTATTAAACTGAAATAACTTTTAAAGCTTAACAGTCTTTTCAATAGGTATATTATTTACTTACTTTTTAATAAGGGCACTGAAAGTGTACAGTCAGGGCATGTCTGCACTGGCAGAGTTACAGCACCACTCAGAGAGCACTGTTGTGGGTTAACACTGTGAGGCCGTGTCTATACTGGCAAGTTTCTGCGTAGTAAAGCAGCTTTCTTCGCTGTAACGCCCGAGGTGTACACACTGCCAAGCCACTTAGTGTGCAGAAACTGCGCAGTTGCACTGCTGTAAAAAAATCCACCCCAACGAGAGGCGTAGAGCTTTCTGCGCTGGGGCTACAGCACCGCGATGCCAGTGTAGACATCCTGATTGATTGCAGCACTGTGATTGGCCTCCGGGAGGTGTCCCACAATGCCTGTTCTCACCTCTCTGGTCATTGGTTTGAACTCTACTGCCCTGCCCTCAGGTGACCAACCATCATCCCCACCCCATAAATTCCTTTGGAATTTTGAAAGTCCCCTTCCTGTTTGCTCAGTGATGCATGCAGTGGTCTCAGTGCATCTTCCCAGGTGGCCATGCCTGCTCCACGCACCAGGTGATCCTCTGCTTGGAGCAATGCCAAGCTGCTGGACCTCATTGGCATTTGGGGAGAGGAGGTTGCGCAGTCCCAGCTGCACTCCAGACTTAGGAATTAGGATACCTACGGACAGATTTCACGGTGCATGATAGAAAGGGGCCATGACCGGGACACACTGCAGTGCAGGGTGAAAGTGAAGGAGCTGTGGAATGCCTACCACAAGGCGCAGGAGGCAAACTGCCTCTCTGGTGCTGTGCCCAGGAGCTGCTGGTTCTACAAAGAGCTGGACACTATACTCGGCGGCGACCCCACCTCCACTGCGGAGACCACTGTGGATACTTCAGTGGCTCGCGTGCCAGTCGAAAGTGGACTGAACCAGGAGGAGGAAATCTTGGACTAGGATGTTGAGGGGGAACCAGAGGCAGAGGATGACTCGGAGGTCAGAGATGCATGCAGCCAGGAGGCTAGCCAGTCACAGCTGTCAGATGTTGGTGAAGCGCAAATAGGAGAGGAGGCCCCTGGTAAGTGGATTTGATTTGGGGAATCGTTGAAGCAAGTTGTTGGGGGCAGGAGGGTTGAAGAAAGCAGGCTTGTCTCCCACCGCATGCCTAATCTTAGCAGTGGAACAGGTTGTTGATTGACTCCCTCACTTCATGGGAATCTCCCTCAGAGAGCTCCAGGAAACTCTTGTGGAGATACTGGGCAATCTGCTGCTGCAGGTTCTTCAGCAGAGTTGCTTTGTTTCTTGCCCCATTAACGGTAACTTTCCTGCGCCACTGTGCCATCACGGGGAGATAGGGGTACCATTGCTGCACACAGGTGAGCCGCATAGGGGCCAGGGCCAGGGTGGAAGCCGCAGTCTTGGAGAAGATCCTCCCTTGATTCCCTACTCATCCTCAGCAGCAAGATATCTTCCATAATGATCACATCCTGTGGAAAGTGTGGGGACAGGAATGATTATCAGGCCCACTCTACAGTGCTGGCTCTCCCCAAGAGGCATGTGCCCAGTGTACAGCAGGATCCGGTCCAGGAAGAATGATTTACCCTGCCCCTGTGGCTACTCACCATTTTAGGGTCTTGTGGCTCATGTGTATGCCCACAGCATTAAGGGGTAGGCGGGGTCTCCCAGGATCACAATGGGCATTTCGACTTCCCCTATGGTGATCTTCTGGTCTGGGAAGAAAGTCCCTGCTTGCAGCTTCCTGAACAGGCCAGTGTTCTGAAAGATGCGTGCATTATGCACCTTTCCGGAACAGCCCGTGTTAATGTCTGTGAAATGCCCACGGTGATCCACAAGCGCCTGGAGAACCATTGAGAAATATCCCTTGCGATTAATGTACTCAGTGGCTAGGTGGTCTGGTGCTAGAATTGGAATATGCATGCCATCTATTGTTCTTTCGCAGTTAGGGAAGCCCATTTGTGCAAAGCCATCCACAATATCATGCACGTTGCCCAGAGTCACGGTCTATTGGAACAGGATGCGCACTTCTGTCAACATGAGTCCAACAGTTGACTTTCCCACTCCAAACTGGTTAGTGACCGATTGGTAGCAGTCTAGAGTAGCCAGCATCCACAGTGCAACCGCCATGCGCTTCTCCAACGGCAGGGCAGTTCTCATTCTTGTGTTCTTGAGCTGCAGGGCTGGGTTAGCTCATCACACAGTTCCATGAATGTGGCTTTCCTCATCTGAAAGTTCTGCAGCCAAAGCTCATCATCCCAGACGTGCATGATGATGTGATCTCACCACTCAGTGTTTGTTTCCCAAGCCCAAAAGCAGCATTCCACTGTGAATGCCACAAGCAATCTCATGTCGTAGCTACTACACGTGGCGAGATCAATGTTGCACTCTTCTTGCCTTTGTAGTTTAAGGAATTAAACCTATAGGACTAACTATATTTTATATATATTTTCTCATAGTTTAAGTATTTGGTTTATTGTAATAGGTTCATAGATTTATATTAAAGTAAGTTTGGCTGTAATGCAAGAGACCTACAGGCCATATCCTGTACGTTAGGCCAAGGCAAAGTTAGCATATCTATATTAAGACCTTTTACTCAGAAAGCAAAGTTGACCTATATCTTGTTACCTAAATAGATAAGTACCCACATCTATGTCTATGACCTTTTATCTAGACCGATAGACAATGGAGAATGGCATAAGGGTTTTTTCAGTGTTGTACCCACAGACTTAACAAGTACACCACAAGAGACTGATGTGCGTACATACCGGTCATCAATATGCACATACATACTAGCCTATCGGGTAAGTGTACCCTAACATTTTGTGGGTGAGGAATGAAATTTGGGCCTAGGAGGAAGGATTTCCAGCACTTTGCCCTATAAAAGAGATAACCCACCTCGATAGAGTACTCCATCTCCATTCTCACTTACTCCGCTCTATCATTCTCACGTACATTCTATTTCTACTCTATCTATTTACGATGACAACTAGTATACTTCTTAAACTTTAAGTTTCAAGGGAACTAGGCTAAGCTTGATTTCCCTAAGTTTTATTCCTAGTTTTGTTTATTAGGTTTTGATTTTAAGTTTAAGTTAGTCAAGTAAACCCTAATTTAGTTTTGATAGCTCTTAGCATTAGATTTCTTCTAAGCACTGCATCCCTCATGCAAGAATTGAGAAACCTGAACTGCAAGGCTGGTCCTGCGTCTCTTACCACCAGGTTATCAAGGAAGGGTGTGA